TGTGGCATTTTCATATCCTTAGGACAGCCCAGGGCAGGGTTCTTTCTGGGCAAACCTGTGTCCACATTCTAAAATTTCTCACGTTCTTTGGGTTCGGATAGCCCAAAGCAGAGATTTTTGGACCACCCACACTTCCCTCACTTCCCTTAAAGCCTTGCGCTTTCACGGGCAAAACTGTTACTGACCCCACGTGGGCTCCACTTGTAAATCTCTCAGTGACGACTGGAATATATGAGTTTTTGGAAACTTAGCCGCCGTGTGGTGCCACAAATGAGTAACGACTTGTTCTCTGGACCACGGCTTATTTCTTGCCTGAATCAGTCATGGGATACGTATTTTCTACTCCCAAAAGACGCCTTTATAATGCCTAATTTCCAATTTATATACTCTTAAAAATTAAAAGTAACATAAAAACTAAACAATTAACTTTTTACTGCTGGGAGGTCTGGCCAACCTACCCATTTAGCGGCAATCATTGGCCCAAGGAAGGAACATTAGACCCCTGCATTCTCAGAAACTTGTATGATTTCTGTCAGACTGCTGACAAGTTATTAGAATTGCCTTATATTCAGGCCTTTCTTATTCTGAGAACACGCCTGTCTCTCATTAAGTCTTGTGCTTCCACTGAGATACTTTTAGCTAACTCTACCACGCCGCAAACTTTTCCATCCTGCCCTCAGGATTCGCTTGACGACGTTCCTCCAGTGTTTTTCTGGCTGCCGCCTCCCTACCCCCAAAATGGTTCCTCGCCATTATCTCCCAATGTTCAATCGACTTCCCCTCTGTGTCCCGGGATCCATAACTCTCCCAGTGGCTCTAATCCCTCTGTCAGCGCTTCCTCACAGTCTCCGACTTCTTATTCTCCTGAGAATTCTCTATTCCCTACAGCATTCTCACTGTCTGCCCACCATACTAGGTCTCGGTCCTTCCAGCAGGCCGCGTGATTGTTCCAGCTTGCGCCGGGAACAGTCGCCATGTTGCAACTCTCTGCCATGTGACAGGGTGCCGCCATGTTCAGAAGGGTCACATGGTGACAGGGCGCCACCACGTTAGGACGGGCCTCGTGGTCAATGGGTGCCCCCTTGTGGCTCCTCTTGTGAACAGCAACAGCTGCCCTGTTGCGGTCCACATGACGATTGCTGACAGCAATCCTCTCACTGCAAGGCACACAGTGAGATGCCATCTGCCTGTGTTTCCTCATCCCAGGGTGAGCGGCAGCTGCTCTGTAGTCGCTCTTTAGATAATTCCTCACATGCATCTATCAGATGAATGGCTGCCCAATGGCCCTCTACTCTGCAATCTTCTCCTCAAGCTCTGCTACCACTTTGGGAACAAGCTGGCCCAAGGGACTTGTTAATATACATGTGCCCTTTTCCCTTTCTGACCTATCTCTGATTACTCATAAATTAGGTAGCTTCTCTTTGACCCACAGAATTATATCAGGCAATTTGATAACAAACTTTTACAACAGATCCAGGAGGCTAATCAAAACCCAGCTGTGTTCCTAAATTGGCTTTCTAATCCTCACGCCCTGCCAGCAGTTCCAGCTTTGCGTGCTGCGTTGGGCCACCTCCCAACCCCTCCCCCATGCGCCATCCCAGCTCCTCCCTCCCCTGTGCACCATCGTCACTGCCGCCTTACACATTTCCGGGGGCAGTCCCAGCCCGCCCCTACTCACTACGTCCCAACGCTCACCCCACCCTCACACTGGGCGTGCTCTGCCAGCACGCCCCAAAACAGCAGCTCAGCGGCTCTGCTCAGACATGCTTTTTTTTATAATTCGGCTCTGCTCAAGAGATGCTATTTTTTTAATCACAATTCTCAAACCATTTAATCAAGGTTATTGGCCACCTGATAATTTTACCAGCCTTGTTTATCAATCAAAGCCTTTAACAATCTCCTGTATAACAACTAAGGTTATAAATCCTTTTTGCTGGAAATCACTAGCTCTGTTCCAAGACAAGGGTTTTGTTAAAATTTTATTTGTCTTGGCTCATACTACTGCAAATAACAAGTTTAAAAAAAGTAAATGTGTTCAAAATTTGACAGTATTAGATCAGTTTTCATAGATTTATTCATAAGATTGGTAAACCTTTACTGCAAAATGTTTCCATTAAAATGAGATTATACTCCAAAAGGGGGAGGGCAGACTAAAGCCTTTTTTATTAAATATATAATTCCACACAACACCCTAAAAGTGATACGCCATCCATATAAAGCCTGCTTTCTGATCTAAAATGCCAATATTAAACTCCTGCATACTTACTTAATTCTACTTTAGTCCAAATCCAAACAAAAAGGCAAAACTTGACCTTCAAACCTTAGAGAGATCTTAATATGATTTTTCATATTTTTAACACTTTTGACACTTGGAGTTCTGAGGCAGGTAAACCTACACAAGGTGGAGCTGCCTGCCCCCCCCCCATGGACCACACTCAAATGCAGCAGAAGACATTGGGCAAGAAAATGCCCCATCCTGGCATTCTTTGAGACCTTACTCCAGGGCTGCTGGACTGTTCGAGCCACCAGAGAGTGGGTAAGCCATCCTAACTTCTAGCCCTCACAGGAAATGTCGACACTGCCAGATTCATCACTGAAAAAATTGCTGCCAAAGACTGAAGGGGTTCAGGGCAACAACAACCCCCTTTAAGGTGTCTGTCTCAGAGTCCAAGTCGACTAAAGTCTCAGGTAAGACAATTCTCTATATTTGTGGACATAGAGACCAGATATACAGAGTTCTTCCTGAGTTTTCAGGCTGCTATATTAAGTCCTCAATCTCTATAACAGGGTATTGATGGTCAACCTATGCCATTTATAAACAGGGCCTATTTCATACAGGCCCCAGTCCTAAATATACAGGCTAACTTAGACACACTGAGGCCTCAACAGCTTCCACCTGTTATCACTAGTAAATCTCTCCTCAGTGATATAAGACCACCCCCTTCCTTTCTTATTCACCAATTTGCCAAACAACCCTGGTCAAGACTGACAGATACATTTTGTATTCTCACTTTGTTTATACTTTTTCAGGATACATAAAAGCCTTTCCCACAACCAAGTAAACTGCTGATACAACCAGGTTACAGTGACCCATGCCTAAATCAAAGTTGCTAGACTGCCATTCTGGTTTCGCATCACTCAGGCCCTAGATCTGACCATCCTTTTCCTACTCATCTCTGCCTTACCAAGGCCTCACGGCCATGACTCACAGGTTGTCTTGTTTTGTTATCCACTTTGGTTCCTAATTCCTTACATTCTATTAATGATCATTTTTACAGCAGGACTCTTGACAGTCTTTCCTAAAGACTGCCACATCATGTATAAGATAATCTTCATAATGTTCTATATGATAACAGTTGCAGTTCTTTCTACCCTCACCTGTCTGGTTAAACGTGACATCCCTGAAAGCCTAAGCTCTTACCTTCCCTATACTGGTACAGCCACTGCCTTCCCTGCTCCCCCTATTTTTTCCAGTTCAACTACTGGACCAGAGACAAGTTTTATACACCTACGCTCTTAACTTTTATGCTTTCAGATGGGGGAGTAATCACCTCTCACAACTTCACTCCTCCTAACCCCACATTTAATTTTCAGAATTCTGCCTTACCATAGAAATGTTCCTACCTCAACATCATCCTGGTAGAATGACATGTCTAAATCAAAGGCACCTTTCCTTCTACCTCACCTGGGTCCTTAAATATGACAGTGCCATGTCTCCTCATAACATCTTGTCTCTTTGTTTTTCCAGTCTAACATATGTACATTCACCAGTGAAGGTGTCCTGGCTAAAACACCTGACACTAGCATCTACCTGGGCATCAACCTTCATCCTGTCGACTCTGCTAGGCTCCAGTACAGTGCCCTCTGCCAGCAGGAAGTAGTTAAAGAGAGAAATCTTTGCCCGTTTTCATAATAATAATCATAAGATGGGATATGAAAGGGTTTTGGCCCAGACAGGACTCTGTAGCCAGGAAAGCCTCAACTGGAACCAGGAAGCCCCTATCTCCCCCGCCCCTGGGAATTTACCTATGGCACCAAACCTAGGACCAATGGGCTACCTGTGCATCCCTGATGCCCCCTTAGGTTCCACCTCAAACCGAGGCTACTTACATACCCCCTACACCAGGTGTCTGCCAGAGAGATCCCCGGACGCCAGTGGTGGGGGGTGCTGGTCATCTCTCTCCATGTTCTCAGAATAAAGGCCTCTGTTTGTTTTATACTTCTCATCTTTTGGAAATATTTTTCATCTTTTGGAAATAATCCTATCAGTCACCATAATACAAGATACAGGGCCAGCAAGACCGAGGGAAGAGGATCTAATTTGGAGAAGTATGGGGTTTGTGAAAACAGCCCTCTCCAAGATTCCAGGATCTTTTAAGATCATGTAAAGGGCATCCATCACATTGAGCTGTCCTTTGACTCTAGAGATGGTTGCTCTAGGAGCCTGGGCATAATAACCTGGAGCACTTTTGCTCTTTGATATTTTTGTTTCAGTTATTTTAGTGTCAAACATTTTCTACCCTAGTAAAAAAGGTTGGAAATATTTTTTCCTCTACTTACTGGAATCATTTGTAAAAATTGGAGTTGTTTGCCTTTTAGGAGAGTTAAATTTTTCTATTGAAACATCTCAATCTATTTTCTTTGGGAGATGAACACAATTTTCAAAATAATTATGAGATAATTCATATTTTCATTTCTTTTTTCATATTTTTGAGTTGTATTTTTCTGAGACTTAAAAAAATTTGCTTTAGACTTTATTGTTTAAATTGCTCTTAAGATGCTCTTATTGTCTCTATTTTATGGAATATATAATATTGGCATATATTTGTCCATGTTGTGGTTCATATGTGGACAGGTAATTTTATCTCCAATTTCTATTTTATAACCAGTGTCTTATCTCTTTTTTTAAAAAGTAAAATAAAAACAATCATATTTGTCGATCATCCACATGGCCACGTTCCCAGTAAGAACATCAAATGCTTTTCCCAGGCTACAACAAATTGGATTTCACAAGCATTTATTAAACATCTTTATGTGTTCCATGCTAAGTACTGGGACTATCAAATTAAGAAACTAGTTCAGCAAATGTCCCTGCCTCAAGGGTTCACAGCTGGATTTTCTTGAGAGCAGAATGAGGAAGAAGCTCAGTACTTGCTAGGCAGACCATCGGGTCGGAAGTGATTGGGGTCTTTGCCACTCCGGCCCCATTCATTGGCATACTGGTCAGCCGCTGTGTCCTCATCTCCTCGGCCCATGAGGCTCTGAAATCGCTCCCTGGCATCACTGCAATCAAGGCAGGCACAGCAGAGATTAATCACTAGGCTGATAAGCAACAACCCCACCTTATATCTATCTCCCTTTTCCCAAAAATGATCCTGAAAGGAGCGCAGGAAGTCCAAGGAAGGCAAGGTACTGACCCTAGCTGGCACCCATACCCAGCCCATCCTTACACGGGATGAACAGTACCAGAGAAGGAGGACTGGGAATCATGAATCCCCAGTAGGCAATCAGACCCAGCACTAAGCACAGAGAAGGAACTTGGGCAAAAGGAGGGAGGGGCACAGCCTCCACAGACAGTGAATGGCTCTACATGGAAGAAGAAGCCCCTCCTGGCTGTCTAAGGCAGTCATCCTCTGACACACACACACCTCCCTGCCGCCTGGCACCCCAAGAACCTACATTACCTGAGCACTTTGGCAGCCCAGACACCTCCAGGCCCCCTTTGGGCAGCATCATAGTTCCCCCGCGCATGGAAGTATTTGTCTGCACCTATATAATTGGCTTCTCTCATGTCGAAGTAGGCTCGCAACATGTCGCTAGTCCCTGGGGGGAAAAGAGAACGATGAAGATGATCACGCCTTGGCAAACAGGAATAAAAATTTTTCCTCTAAGTTCAAAGACTTCAGCCTTTGACAAGTCCTCAGAAATATTCCTTTACTTCTCATCTCCCTGGGTTACCGCTGAGGGACTCACACCTGTGAGTGAATCACAAGTTTTATTCCACTTGATTCCACCTTACTTTTGTTGCTATTTTGCTCTTGACTATGTGAGATGCATATAAAGAAGAAATGAGATGGTCTTTAAGCGATGTGCCAATCTACAAGGTTCCTCTGTGTTAGTTCATCTTTATTGTCAGCTTGCCTAGATTCAGAGACCCTTCCCTGGAGAGGAACTGGATCTTGGGAGCGCTATGCTGATCAATGAATTAATCTGTGAATGTTCATTACTGCATATGCTGTTTGGAGGCGGGACCTATTATGAGGAAATGGGGTCACCAGGGTTGCCCAACTTCCCTGCCATCAGGACCTTCCACCTTGATGTTCCTGCCTTGGAGTCAGCCAATCATGTCAAAATAAACCTCTCCTCCTTTAATTTGTGGATGTCAGGAATTTTGTCTCAATAAATGGAAAGTTGACCAGTAAATCATCTGCCTAGAAAGATCCTAGGAACCTTCTGACCAAGGTAGAGAACACCACAGTCTGAGAGAAGCTCCAAACCTAATCCAGTCAATGGGCAAAATCCATGCTCATGAGTGGAGAAAGAACAATCTGTTTCTGAGTGCATCTGGATATCCAGGGTATATTTTTGAGCCAGGATAACATCAGAGTCTGATTGGCAGAGTAAATCAGACACGGAAAAGACAAGTATCACATGTTTTCTCTGATATGTGTAAATAAACAAACAAAAGACATCAAAGTAGAAGAGAAAATGTTAGGGAAGCAGTAGGGGACTAGGGAGAGGACAAAGGGGGAAAGAGGGTAAAAGGGTAGGTGGATGTGATCAAAACACTGTATATACATTTATAGAAATGTCATCATGGAACCCACTATTTTGTATAGTACTGTGCATTAATGATTATAATTTTAAAATGAATTCAATCAGAAGGTGATAAATATGAGTTTTCTAAGAGAGATTTAAATAAACTGGATAATCAGAGACAGAAAAAGGACAACTGATTCTATGATTCCAAAACTTCACTGTCCTTCTAGGTAAAATGGAGGATCACTAAGCCTCCAAGGTTTTGCAGAAGAACTGAGGAAATATCTATATCGTGTCTAGAGTGCATTAAGTGCTCAGTAATCACTTGACTCTTGAGATTCTTAGAAAGGATGGGGGGAGAAAAAGAAGTAAGCTATGCTAGTGTTAAATGAATTTTTAAATTTTTAACCGGGTAAGAAAAAGGACAAAATCCAATATATAGTGCTAATCATGGTTTACATAATTTGTCTGTGAGGTAGTTGTTCCCAGCCTTTACTTATTATACATAAAAATTAACAAGGGTGTTTGGTAAAGGTAAGATTTCCAGGATCCAGGCTCAAAGACTCCAATTTAGTTGCCAATGGCACCAGCATTTCACAACCATCCCTGATCCCCAATATGAATAGACCTTCATGTTTGAAAACCATTAAAGAATGAAAGATATTTTAAGCTGAGTGTGTGAGAATTTATGAAGGATCAGCAACAAATCCTTAAAATGACTATTTGGGGGCCACCACAGTAATTAGAACCATCTGATTTTGCACCCAAAACCTCACATATGCCAGGCAAGCGCTCTACCACTGAGCTACACCTGCAGCCCCAATGCCCGAAATTTTGAGTGCTGCATTTTGAAGACGAAGTCTTGCCACTATGGATAAAGGGATAAATTTCCCTTACTGTTGGATTCCTGGCCATATCTCAGGCCCAAGAGAACTTTCATCAGTGGAGTTCATTGTGGACCGAGGAGCTGGAATTGCCTTCCAAAGGCATCGCATCCTGGCTATTTGCCATTACTCAGACAAAGAACAGGATGTGTGTCCACGAATCCCTGGCTCTTATTTTGGAAACAGTGTATAAAATCCTGAAAAGCAACTCTACCTGGGTTAAACCTGCTTTTCTCTGGAACTTTGCTTGGTATCTTAAGCTCTTGGGGCGTCAGTTTCTCTATGATGCCTACTTCACAGGATTAAAGGATAAAAGTTAATTCATTCATTCACTGGTGCATCCAAAAGGTCTAGCTAATCCTGGATGTTATGGCTACTATGTGGATGCAGGATGTATTAGCTACTGTCAGCGCCTGGGCAAGTAGCAGTGAATTCCACTTTTTTGATGCATCCCTTTCATGGTTATTTCAGACACACGGAAATGAGCTGTCCCCGATTTTCCACTAGGGGGCATTAGAGTCCCTTTTTATTAGGAGGACACTTGGATTCCTAATCTCTCCCACACTTGCCAGAAAGTCACACGGAATTGCTATTATAAAAACCATGCGGCTGGTCTATCCATTTATGGCTTCCCAGGCACCTTTGATTATTGAGGATGTGGTATCTGTTCAGGTGAATTCTTGGGGCAGCCAGGTATAGCCTCCTGCCCCCATTGCCTTAGGGCCTTACCTTGACCAGCTTCCTTGAGGAATGAGAAAATGCTTCGTTCTCCTTTGGCATGGCCATCAACACCCAGGACCAGAAGGCAGAAAATGAGTCCAATGGAAAGCTTCATCCTGCTGCAAAGTCAAGGAAACAACAAAGACTGCTACGTGTCTGGTTTTAAATTTGTAATGTTGACACACCCTTGCATTCTGAAAATAAACTGCATTCAACTTCACACACAAACACACCTGCATGTGCGCATATTAGGTAGGATTTCAGAGGGTCTGATTTTCCATTTTCCTTTACCTCATTAGAATCCCAGAGTTTGAGAGATCACACTGTGGACTATTAGTATAAATAACTTTTTATTTTAATCACTCCTTATCATCCCTGTAGAGAAGAGTTTCAAAGAGACATTTGGAGATTCTGTGACCTTTCTGAAATATGAGATGAGATTTTTAAAAAAATCATTAAGTATCTGTAGAACTCCAGCTCTATCACTAAATCCACATAGAAGCATACAACAAAATCTCTCTTAAAAGGTATCCAGATCTGGCAAATTCTACTCTTCAGAAGAGTAGATGCAGGAAAGGTATAGAAAGAACTGAGATGCAGCACAAGAATGCTACTGCACAGAGAACCTCCAAAGAGTAAGAGCATTGGAAACTTCCACGGCTCACCTTGTGCTCTCTATTCTGCTGAGGTCTGAGTGGAGCTCACTGCCTATGATGACTGCTCACAGGTGTGCTATATATAGCAACACTCTGCTTATGAAGCCGACCTCTTTTCTCTCTTGCACAATCACTCTTGGCCAGGACACAGCATTCACAACTTCAGGGATTTCCTTTATAACAATCTAATTTTCCCAGATTATGCAATCTGGCAACTTTCAGACATAGAGCAAGTTAGGATTTTCTGCCCATTTCCAGTCTCTTTCCTGACTGGAAAAGTTTTTCTCCCTTTACCCAATATTGTACCCACAATTGCTGGAAAGGGTAATCAATATTTTAAAAAGAGGCTTGACTGTGTAAAGAATGTGAAAGTGCAGTGTAAGAGAAACATCTGAGCTGACTCACTCCATTGCAAGGGATGGTTCAGGATAAAGTTTGGAAAGACAGACAACTCAGAAAAACAAAGCTTTCAGTGCCCATGTGGCTGGACCACGCTCTAAGAAAAAGAGTCCTCCACACGTAAGTGGATTCATGATCAGCTATATTGATGATCAATGGCAGGTTGCATTTGGAAGCTGCTATAATCTAGAAATGTTGAACAATTATATAGAAATTTGCTACATATGCATAAATGGCATATGTAAAGATGAGCAGAAAATAGCCCACCACCTGCTGAATTGTCAGAATAGGACACTCAGGAAGAAAGCACAGTGAGCTGGGTGAATTACAAGCATATTGGAAAGGTATATGTTAATGAACAGTTTATTTAGCCAGAAAAGTAAGACTGTTTAGTGAGATCATCTTGGGATGAAATTTCATGCAGGTGCTATTAAGGGGTTCGAATCTATGGTTCACACCCCTGTCCATCCCTGCCCCTTCATCCAAAAGGAACAAATATCATAGTATTTCCTTAGTAAAGGCTTGATGTAGGAGAAACATAATTCCCAACCTGCTAGATGTCAGATGTACAGAGTTCATGTCCCCCCAAAATGGGAAAATGAATTCCAAAGACAAAGGTGGTTAAGAGTAGAAAAGGTTTATTGAGAGAGAGCTCCTGAGAGGCAGGAGGGATCCCAGAAGCAGGTTGCCACCGAGGCCCTTTGTAAGCACAGTAAAGTCACAATGTGTTTACAACGTGGGTCACACTACAATCAAACTATAGGATTACAAGTATTAGCTTAGCTAATACTGATCCAGTAGGGGAAGTGAGTTGCATAGTAAGGGTACATGGAAAGAACAAAGGCATTTGGGCAAGAGATGGGTCCAGTTGTTCTGGTCACCCACCTGGGCAACTGATGTCTAGCTGGACTTCCTGGACCAGGTGATACCAATCACAGTACAATCTCAAGTTATTGTTTATCCTTCAGGCAAGCATGGAGGCCTTGCATTCTATCTTTATCTTGAGGCCTGGCCTTCAACAGTTGTGATGTGTTCCCATCTTCTATACTGACTCCCTCAAGGGCCTAGCCCTGTCTGACTGCCTGTTAATTTCTACCTAACTTATCTGCCTATCATACAACTATATGTGTGTAACATGGCAGAGATGATGAGAGAGGACACCTGGTCCTTCTCACGGGGGGCCCCTGTGCTAAAAGGCGGGGGTTGCTATATACTTGTCAGAAGAAAGGATACATGGAGTTTATTTTACAGTGCTGGTTTCAACGCCTTCCTTGTTTATTTTAGCCCTCATTTTTGAGGATACTGAAGTGCCTGTCATCTGGCTAGCATATGTAGGAGTGGTGTGTTGATTCTAGCAAAGGTAGCTGGAGTACAAACAAAAAGAAACCAGATGTTTGAGCCTGAAGCATAGCCAGCACTGTAAAAAAGAATTTCAAAGTTCCTCTTGCTGAGCACACAGCAACATCCCTTCCTCTCATTATTCCCAAAGAAGGGACAGCTGGAAGCTCCTGAAGGTTAGGAGCCTCATTTGTTTTTGACAAGAAAGAAGAGGATCAAAGAACTTCTATCTAGAACATATAAAGAATTAAAAAACATCAAGCCCCCAAATTCAAAGAACCAATCCAAAAATGGGCATCTGAAATGAATACGCACTTCTAAAAATGGCAAATAAATATATGAAGAAATGTTCAACATCATTCCTCATTCAAGAAACGCAAATTAAAACAACCCTGAGATTCCATCTCACTCCAGAAGGAATGGCTGCCATAAAAAAATCAACTAATAACAAATGCTGGAAGGGCTTTGGAGATAAAAGAACCCTTCTCCATTTTTGATGGAGTGTAGACTGGTGCAACCACTGTGGAAATCAGTGTGGAGATTCCTCAGAAAAACAAAACTGGAAGTCCCATTCAATCCAACTATACCCCTGCTGGATATTTTCCCAGGAGAATTGAAAACATCATGTCACAGTGATATAGGTGCACTCGTATTTATAGCAGCACAATTTGTAATAGCTAAATCTTGGAAACAACCCAAAAGCCCATCAACTACAGACAGGGTAAAAGATGTGGTATTTTTATACAATAGAGTATTACTCAGCTATAAAGAAAGATAAACTTGAGGCTTTTATAGGTAAATAGATGCAACTTGAGAGCATACTCATAAGTGAAATAAAACAAATGTGTTAAAATTGTATTGTCTCCTTAGTGTAAAAAAAGACTGAAAGAATAATAAGATCCAAAATATACAATAGATATTGTAAAAATTAAATGGAAAAAGTGCTCAAAGGAAGAACAACTGGGATGGGGAAAGAAGAGAAGCAAGCAAGAGAAAGATGATTCGTATATAGGTATATATGTGTGTGTATGAATATATACACAAGATAGATAACTATACTATTAATCTCTGTAAGTTCATCAGAAAGAATAGTTTGTGCTCTCATTGTTTTATTGTTTAGTCATTTTTTCCTACCTAAATCTTGTAACCTGAATAACTACTTCTAAGATAACAATGTGCAATACACTAACTAGTGTTGATTTCCTATTTCTTTGAAATACTGTATAATTTCTATCTTTTGTTTTGTTTGGTTTTTGAAATAAAAAAGAAAGAAAGAAGAGAATGAGGTCAAGATGGGGGAAATTATAAAACAAATAGGGAAATCTGCGTTCTCCCCTTGCTTTCCTCTGTCCCTTGCTATGAAAGACCCTTGCCCTCCTATAAATCAGAGATGGTGATATGAGGAATTTGGGCCCCTCCATCTCCTTGAAGCTAGCTTTGAATAAATTCTTTTTCCTTTTTACTCAAATATGTGGCCTCTTTTGATTTGGCCAGCGGCAAGCAGATGCAACAGAGCGTATGAACCTAAACTGCAGGTAACAATATCCTGTCACATTTATTTCCCTCCTTTGGGACTATTCATTGCCGGAAACCTACTCCCCATCCACTCATTCAAGTCATTTTCTCGCTTGGCAGAAATCTTAGAAAAGAAGAGAGTACAAGTTTTCGGTATCAGGAAGAATTCTTTACAGGGAACTTCACAAGCATTGAATGTTCTCTTGTTATTTAATGTGCTCTGCCTTCTGGGAAGGGACACACAGTTCTCTGCAGTGCCATGCCTAGGACACTTGGCAGTAATGGCAGTTGCTATTTTCACTTGTTTTTCCAGACCAAAAAAAGAAAAAAAAAAATGGAGTTTTCAAGCCTTCTGGGGCTTTCCCAAGAACCTCCATAAAAGACCATGGGTCCTGCTTTGCATAAGGTAGTCTCTGTTGGGGCCTATTGCCCCCGCTTAAATACTAATAATGGCACCTCCTTTTATTATAGGCAGCGAAGTAGAAATATATAGGTGGTCAGACAGGGCTAGACGCACAAGGGAGTCAGCATAGAGGATGAGAACAAATCACAGCTGTGTTGGAGGCAGTCCTCAAAAACCAAATGGCCCGGCCTACATGTCTCCCCAGGGGATAAGACAACTGGTATCACCTGGTCCAGTAAAGTCTAGATAGATATCAGTTACCCGCTTGAGTGGCCAAGACTCCCTGACCCACCCCTTACTAAAGAAGCTCTTTGTTCGGCTGGGGATTTAGCTCAGTGCCTCAAGTGCTTGCTTCGTAAGTGCAAGGTCATGAGTTTGATCCCCTGTACCAGGAAAAAAAAAGTTCTTTGTTCTTTCCATGTATGCTTGCCACTATCAGGTTCAGTTTGGGCCTGACTCTCCCAGCACCAAGACCCTGCTCAGCAAAGGGTGTCATAAAAGAGATTATAGGGGCCGGGCATATAGCTTACCGGCACAGGTCCTGAGTTTAATTCCTGGTACTCCTTTTCCCCTGCCCCCCCCCCACAAAAAAAGAGAGAGATAAGATAGATCATGTAATCTTCCAAGCATCAGGACATCTGAAAACTTCTATCCTTTATACCAGTCACCCCAAGGCCTACTCACTGAGACACTAGACATTTACAGAACTTTTTTTTTTCTTTCTGGAGACAGGATCTCATTATGCAGTTTGGACAGGCCCTGGACTCACTACATAGCCTGGCTTGGCCTCAGACTCACAGTGATCGTCCTACCTCAGCCTCCAGAGTGCCAGGGTTACAGGCATGTGCCACCATCCCAGCCTTTAGAGAATATTTGGTCACTCGTGTTTACCGAGATCCTCCCACCTTGCCTTCTTTCAAACTGCATGAAGAAGCCCACTTCTCTTTGTTCCCTACAGATGGCCTTTCGGTCCCATGACTGCCTGTACCCCGGCACAATAAATCTTACGGCACGTTGCCTTTCCACAAGCCTGGTGGTCTCTGCTGTCCACTACCCACCCTCGCGCTGTTCCTTACAGCTATAGCACCTGCTTCTCCGCTGGATCAACGTTATCTAAGCAGCCATACTTTTAATCTTACTGGTTGATCATAGTTTTGATCCACCTTGCATCTACCTCATGATTTTCTCACTGACACCCACTCTCAGGTCCCTTCTCTCTCTCAGGAGCTCTCTCAATTAAGTTTCCCTACCCTTAACCTCCACTGTTCCTTAGAGTTCATTCCTCAACTTTGGGGAAAAAGAATTTGGTGTATCTGATACCTAGGACACTGGGAGTTACATATTATTTCCCCTATATTACTTTTACTCTAAAAAATTAAATGGATTTTTTTTTGTCTTTTTCCTTGTTATTGGTACCGGGGATCGAACTCACGACTGCCTGCTTGCAAGGCAGGCGCTTTTGCCGCTGAGCTAAACCCCCAGCCCCCAAATTAAATGGATTTGAGTAATAGATTAGTAAC